CGCGAGTGGTTTGCCCGGCGCTGGAGGCGTGCTGCTGGAGCTGGAGGTTCTTCGGCTGCTGAGGGTGCTGGTGCCGCGGGTCCCGGAGGTGCTCGTACTGGGAGTACTGGAGCTGTTGGGCCTGCGGGTACGACTGGAGCTGGAGCTGCTGAGGGTGTTGGCGCTGAGGCTACTGCTGTCGGTCCTGGAGGCGGTCCTGCTGGGGGTGCTACTGGTGCTGCTGGAGGTACTGGAGCTGGAGGTGCTGCTGGCGCTGGTGCTGCCGCTGGGGGTACTGGTGCTGTCCCTGCTGTGTCTGGAGTCGCCGCGCGGCCTCGGCCGTACTTCGTTCCGCTCCTTCAGCAGGTTCTTGGTCTCCCGCCTTCTACTGGTCCTCCTCCTCCCTTAGCGTGTCCACAGCCTGTCCCGTCACAGTTACAGTTACAGCCGGCCTCCCCACTGCCCGCTCCTTCTCCCTACACTGGTCCTACTGGAGGTCTTGCTGAGCGTCGTGAGCCTGCGTCTCGCCCTGCGTCGCCTGTCCGTGCTGCTCGCACTAGTGCTCGTGGTTCGCGTCAGCGTCCTCCTCCTGTCCCTGGCACGCACCGGATGTCTCTGCGTCCGTCCACTGCTCCTCTGCGTGCCCCTTTGCCTTCTCCTCCTGAGTCCTCTCTTCCTGCTCTTCCTGACCCGGAGTCGGACTCTCTTCGTGCTGCCAGTCCTACTGTCACGCGTCTCCTTGCTACTGTTGTCACTGACCCTTCCTTTGAGTCCACTGCTGCGTCTGCCCTAGTTACTGAGCTCGTCGACTTTGCTGCTCGCTGTCGTCTAGACTACGCTGCTAGTCTTGTTGCTGAGTCTGAGTCTGTCTGTCCTCCGTCCGTCGGGGGTGAGTGTGCCCTTGGCACGGACGTCCTTGAGGACAGGCAGGAGGAGTTCCAGTGTTTGGCTGCTGCTTCACCTCATCTCGTGTCCGTACTGCTTACCCCTGAGGGAGACCCGGATGCACTTGACATCCCGACTCCGCGCTCTTACGCGGAGGCGATAGAGGGTCCCTACTCCTCTCAGTGGCAGGCAGCTATGGACGCAGAGATGGCTTCATGGAAGTCCACAGGCACCTACGTTGACGAGGTTCCCCCGCCTGGGGCGAACATCGTCAGTGGCATGTGGATTTTCAGGGTGAAGCGGCCGCCGGGTTCTCCGCCTGTCTTCAAGGCGCGTTACGTGGCTCGTGGCTTCAGTCAGCGGCAGGGAGTTGACTACTTTCAGACCTTCTCTCCCACCCCGAAGATGACCACTCTTCGGGTACTGCTGCACATAGCTGCTCACCGCGACTACGAGCTGCACTCTCTTGACTTCAGCACTGCTTTCTTGCAGGGCAGCCTGCACGAGGAGATCTGGCTGCGTCGCCCACCTGGCTTCACTGGGTCTTTTCCTCCTGGCACCCAGTGGAGCCTCCGGCGGCCAGTCTACGGTCTCCGCCAGGCACCGCGTGAGTGGCACGACACACTGAGGACTACACTTGCGGCTCTTGGGTTTGCTCCCTCTACTGCCGACCCGTCGCTGTTTCTGCGCACCGACACTTCTTTGCAGCCGTTCTACATCCTCGTGTACGTCGACGACTTGGTCTTTGCCACAGCTGACACTGCTGGACTCGCCCACGTGAAGTCCGAGCTGCAGAAGAGACACACGTGCACAGACCTGGGTGAACTGCGCATCTACCTTGGCTTGCAGATCACCCGGGACAGAGCACGCCGCACCATTACCCTGACTCAGTCACACATGGTGCAGCAGGTCCTTCAGCGCTTCGGCTTCACGTACTCCTCGCCTCAGGCCACTCCTCTGCCTACTCGCCACTCGCTCTCAGCTCTGCCTTCGGATGAGTCCGTAGAGTCGAGTGGCCCGTACCCAGAGCTTGTTGGCTGCCTCATGTACCTGATGACCTGCACACGACCTGACCTTGCATACTCTCTTAGCATTCTTGCACGCTATGTTGCTCCTGGGACACACAGACCGGAGCACATGGCTGCAGCGAAGAGGGTGTTGCGCTACTTGTGCAGTATGTCGGGCATGGGGCTTGTGCTTGGAGGGCAGAGTCCAGTGGTCCTCACTGGACACGCAGACGCTTCTTGGGCTGACGACCAGGCTACGCAGCGGTCGTCACAGGGTTACACCTTCAGCCTTGGTTCCGGCTCTGTTTCGTGGCGGGCTACTCGCTCGTCTTCTGTTCTCGGCTCCAGTTGTGAGGCTGAGATCTACGCCGGGGCCATGGCTGCACAGGAGCTTCGCTGGCTCACCTACCTGCTGACTGACCTCGGAGAGCCGCCTCGTTCTCCTCCAGTGCTCTACGTAGACAACAAGGCCATGCTGGCCTTGTGTCGAGAGCAGAGACTGGAGCACAGAACGAAGCAAATTGCTCTTCGCTACTTCCTTGCTCGTGAGCTACAGCAGCGTGGTCAGCTGCGACTTGCGTACGTGGCCTCTGAGGCCAACACTGCTGATATCTTCACCAAGGCACTTGCGCCTTGTGATCATCAGCGCTTCTGTACTCAGCTGGGTCTTGTACCTACCTTGCCTCACTTGCTCACCTCTTGACCTTGTTTGTACTGTTGCATATATATATACTCCTGCTCTTGCTTGTCTAGCCTTATATATATATGTAATCCTGCATGTGAACTGGCCTTGTGGCCTTGAACTTGTGCTCGGAATGTGTGGTGACTTTGTGATCCACCCTGAGCTTGCTTTGCTTTGCTTGACTGGTCTTGTGACCCCTTGTTCTCCCCCACTTTGCCTATGGGGGTGTGTCAGAGTTATATGACATAGCTACTGTAGGCTATAGTGGGGTAGCACATATGGGGTACAGTTGCCTAGGGTTTGCCTTTTGTACCCAACTTTCACTTAGTCATTTCATTCCTGTTTTCTTGATTCACAGTGGGGTGGGGGGCGAACGGGGACATATGGCGGCTTTCATGGTGGTTGCGAAGGGGAGCAATATGCGGGAAGAGGGTGTTAGGAAGAATGAAGGGTATGAGACCTCATAATTCCTGAAGACGTGTTACGGTTCGCCTCTGATTGACCCGATCAGGTGCGTTTAGTAAATTCCGAGAAGTTACAGTGGCGATTTCAAGCAATCGGAGGCAATCCCTTGATCGCGATCAGTTGATCGGCCCAACTCGATCAACCGCCTAAAACAGCCCAATCAAACACAATCCCACACCATCACCGACGATCAGTAGTTGCATTGGTTTGGTTTGGGCTACCAAGCGACGCCAAAGAAAAGTTACGGTGTTGTGCTGGGTTTCGTGAAGCCTTCGTCCAAACAACACCCACAAGAACTTTCTGGACGCGCCTGTTTACGCGAAATTACAGGGAAATCGTGACACGTCCTTAGGCCTGAAGGCTTGTTGTAGCCATATTTCCATTTCCTTAGGGTACGTTCTTAGCCTGTGTCAAGTTTCCTGACACAAGGCTATCGACAGCTCCGATCGTTCCACGTCATCATCAATCAAATCCAAACCCTTCACAGCTTCATGTCAGCCTGCCTGACACAGGCTAAGAACGCACCCTTAGGCCTGACACGTTTCCGTCACCAGATTTCTGCGCGTTTCATTGGTGACTTGGGAAAATTCAGCGGGTTCCAGCGACTTCATGCCTCAGCCAAATTTCCACCATGTCTTGGCACATAAGAAAATCCAGCAGGTTTCAGCGACTTCACCTAAATTCCAACGTGTTTCACCGATTTGCCAGTTTTCAGCGGCTTAGCGAAATTTCGGTGGCTTAGCCAGTCGTCATCGCCGTCAGCAGTATGTTTCACCAATTTTCCAGCGGGTCTTGGTGACTTGAGAAAATCCAGCGGGTTTCAGTGACTTCGCCGAAATTCCATCGTGTTTCACTAAAACAGTTTCAGTGACTTAGCCAAACGTTCGGCTTTTTCAGTGACTTCGTCAGATTTCCAGCGAATACGTGACTGACTTTAACAAAGTCTCAACAGGGTGAACTAGAAGTCCTATACGGAAATGCAGTGCTGGAAATACGCTAATGCCTGGAACTGCAGGGTGCTTTCCTACTCATGTCAAAACGTCGCAGGGTGGAACGATCGTCATTGCCAGTTTCAGCAGGGTGGTCGAAAAACGTCACTCCGAAAAACAGGCTATTCAAGGTACACCCAGACTTCCTGGGGCCTGGTCGTAATCGAGAGAGGTGGTGGATAGCTATCCCGCCCTAAGTCGTACCTGAGAAAGAGGTGGATAGCTATCCCGCCCGAAGTCGTACTTGAGAAAGATGATGGCTAGTTATCCGTTGTCGGGACAACTCCTCAGCGCCATTGTCCTTCGATCTGAGATCAGTCGAGATATGATGGACCTGAAAGCCTTAGGCCACGTCAGCGACCCGTTATCCGCCGTGCAGAAACGGAGGATTGCTTGTCATTACCTGATTCGTTTCTCGCCATGTATGCGAAAAAATGTCGGTATCACAAACTTCGCGAGCCATTTACAGTGCAGTAAAAAAATCCAGGTCTCACAGAGCAGCCCCTGTGGGCACAAACAGAGTAGCACTCTACAGAAAGCACGGCATATGCGCTCAGGCACAGTTATACAGATCTGTCACCAAACGCCGCTTTGCAAACTCGAGTAATTAGCACGGCACGGCCACGAAGCCACGAACCCGGGCCAGAATCCGTGTGATCCTGTCCTTGCACCAACGATTCGTCGCGACGGCGGGTAGAGAGGGCATAGGACGCGTGGCGGTGCAGCTTGAGCCTCAACCTCTGCCGGCGCGTCGCCATGTCCCGAGAAGTGCCGTCGGAAATGCCGGCCATTGTCGTCAGCGGCGGAGGGACGACGGGCCCTCTCACCGCGCATGACAGAATGGTGCTATCTGACTCGGACAAGGATCTCACCCTCAACTGTTTCCATCACGCCCTCATGTGAGCCTTCAAGCGGCGCTGGGCCATGTTACGACCTTCCCTGGGTAGTGTTCCTCGCCCTGACGCCTCGATACCCGTCCTATCGCGAGCGCAGGTACATCGCGGAGTGGGCACGAACGACCCATGATATACCCGTCGCCATCTTGAACGACGCGCTCGTCCGAAATCTCTCGTTTGGCGACGACTTCGCGGGTTCCCTGCCGCTGAATCTCTTTAAGCAGTCCATACTATGCTGGCCGCTGTACAGGTGAGCCACACGACGTGAGCCGTCGGTTCGAATGATCGTGCGTGCTGTGCGCAGCGAGGGAACTCCTGAAAAACCCGGTGTGCACGCCAGCATCCTTGTGGTCTACAACCCCGGTGACCTCATCGCGAAACCTGAGAGTTTGTGGAGGATGCGGGTGGTCCACTTCGAGCCTGCACCGCAGCACGGCTGCCACACGGCCCAGGCTTCCGAGGCCTACCGGTACGTGCCGTGCGTTGCGACAGAGAGGGGGGTGAGGGGGGGGAGAGGGGAGGGGAGGGGTGGGGAAGGCGGGAGGGATGGCATTTTGTGTTTGGGGAGGAAAGGAAAAAAGGGGGAAGGGGAAGAGCGACAGGGTGGTCTCGGGGAGGACCGGTTTTATCGCAGTCACTGATTAACTGCCCTCAAGTCCGGCCGGCCTTGCGCCCCGCGTAGGTGGTTCAGGCAGTGGGCCAGCAGCGCAATGCGACTGGAGGTCTTTGGGTGCTTGACGACTCGCATGCGCAAGCTCGACCACCTGCACTACCGACTAGAGCACTAAGTGAGGAGCACAAGAGTCGTCGCTCGTGCGTTCTGGCCTGACCCACTACTAGAAGGCTCTTGCTGATTTCACGACTTGTGCGTGCTAGCATGAGTGGCAGGAGAAGATGCCCTTTGAAATGGAGGAGAGTCAAGCATGCGTAGCTGGCAAATGCGCGCTCGAGTTCATGCGGCTGATCCAGGAGCGGGCTGGAAAGGCACGGGCGATTAACCGCCGTCCGGAGAAGCGGACGACTACCACGCCGCAGACGTGGGAGGTGGCCGACCTGCGCCGGAGGCTTCAGGAATCGTATCGCGAGGGGCCTCCCAGAGTCATCCAGGCAGACGGGGCCGTCCGCGTCCGCCAGTGGCGCCAGGGAACGGACTGGCGCCGTGGGGGATGCAGGCACGCTGCATGGAAACTACGCTGCTGCGGCTCTGAATTTTCATGACTTTGAGATGGAGAGGGGGCGGATGGTGCAGGGCGGCGGAATTCAAAGCTCCCTGGCGCTTTTGGAAAGGGAGATCCTTCTCAGCAGCCAGGAAGATCTCCCTGGATCTCTGCTTGAAAAGGTTCTTCGGTGAGTACCTGAGCTTCGTTCATTATGCTCTGTGGCCATGTACGCACTCGGATGGTCATATCAACTATTTCACACACTGCAAAAATCATGTGCGGTGCTTGGCTGTGCTTTCTCCCTTGCTAGCAGGTTTATCGTGGAGTGTTGGGCCGTAAATCCTGGGCGCCTGAAACGCATTCGGCTTCTCCCGTGGAGCAACGGGTCATTATTAGCCCTCATGGATGCGATCTTTCGCAATAAACCGATTCCTTATGGCCTCCTTAAAGTGGACCTCCTCGTCATCCCCCTTCTCGAGTAAGCCCTTTCCCAAGAAAATTGTGAACACGCCACTCGACATCAGAACATAAAAAAATAAAGGCGTTTAACATGTCTGCCACTATTCCCCCTCAACCCAGGTGCGACTGTCGAGCGCCGGAAAGGCACTTGAGCATGGTGGTCGAGATGGGGGCACCAGACATGTTGGATGAAGACTTGTTTGCGAACTGCCGTAAACGTGTTATACACGTCAACCACCGCATTTGCAATGTGAAAACCACTCAGTTAACGTGGAGGTAAGAATGGACACAGTAGCGTCGTTTCTGTCGTCCTCGTGCAAACACCAGACTCACACATGGCGTGATGTGCGTGCACTTATGCAGTATCGTCTTTAGATGGCTGGGGAAGGAGTGGAGTGCGCTTCATTGCGGCGCGGTGTTCCCCAACACGGCGGCCGTGCGCATGGCGTGCGTGCCGTGCGAGAGCATGGTAAGTGATTATGAATGGATGTAAGTAAGCACGTTGTATGGCATGTACACCACCCTCTGCATGTCGCTCGTACGCGGTACCAGAACACGAAATGACGAGTGTTTGCTTGCTGATTCCGCGTGCCAGGAATATAGGGGGCCGTTCCATGACGCAAGGAGTGGGATAGTATGCGCGCTCGCCCTTCAGAAACTCGTGGAAGAGTACGGGAGGGTGCATGTTCAGCCGAGACATAAGGTGGTGCTATCAGGACCAGGAGCGGATGCGTGGGTGGACCTACGCAACAGCCTTATTGAATCGATGCCCGCGGAGGAGGAGGAACAGGAGGAGGCGAACAAGGAAAATGAACAGTCCGGGGAGGAACAAGAGAAGTGTTGGGGGTCGTCGAAGGAGCTGCAGGCGGGGAAGGGGCAGGAGGCGGGGAAGGGGCAGGAGGAAGGGGTGGCGGAGCAGGGGGTGGCGGAACTAGGGGTGGCGGAGCCTGTGCATATGGCGGGTTTTGAGAAGGCGGTAGATGAATGGGAGGGGGGTGGCATGCGGTTGAGGAAATGGAAAGAAGAACAAAATTGCAAAGCCGTACATGAGTTTGAGGGCGACGGAGCAGAGGGCGGCGGAGCAGAGGGCGGCGGAGCAGAGGGCGGCGGAGCAGAGGGCGGCAGAGCAGGGGGCGGTGGAGCAGGGGGCGGCGGAGCAGGGGACGGCGGAGCAGGGGGCGGCGGAGCAGGGGGCGGCGGAACAAGGGGTGGCGGAGCAGGGGGCGGCGGAACAAGGGGTGGCGGAGCCTGTGCAGATGGCGGGGTTTGGGGAGGCGGTAGGTGGGTGGCAGGGGGATGGCATGCGGTTGAGGAGATGGAAAGAAGAGACGCCTCGTGCTCACAAAGTTGCAGGGACGTTTAAGGGTTTGGCCGAGGGGGTTGCAGGGAGGGTGCGGAAATTTGCGGAGCTCGAAGATGAAGAGAACTACAGTATAGCACGGTCTGTGAAACCACGTGCTGCAGCGACAGCAGAACCAGGTCCCAGCCCCGCTGTTCCACCCCCGTCCGCTGCACCAACAGCAGCACAGTCGATCTCATCGTCATCGTCAGCAAAGACGATATCGACGTCATAAGAACAGTCAGTTGCATCGGCAGGCTCAAGAGGATCCGCAGACCCATCCCTGCGAGCACTTGTAAGATCGAGCTATGCTGAACCAGTGTCGTTTTCCTCCTCATCCGAAGGAGACATGGGTAGCGGCAGGCGGAGAGGGAAAAAGAGAGGGGGACGAGGAGGGAGGGGAAAAGAGAGAGGGAGGGGGGGAGGAAGCAGCAGTAGGAGAGGGAGGAGAAAAAGGGAACAAGGATTTCCTAATGTTAACTACTACCTAGATCCTGGGGTTTGGAAAGTTGAAGTGAAGACCAAAGGGTTACCAGTGTATGGCGGCATGTTCCCCACGCCACAGCAAGGCGCGGTCTGGGCGGCCATCACGAGAGTGCTGCACACGCCCACACCCACTACACAGCAGAAGGGGTACATGTTTTACTCTGCATCCAAGTTCGTGCAGAGGTCTGAGATTCAGGTGGTGGAGGACAACAGGGAAGTCTTGATGCGGTGGTGGCGTGAGGTAGTGGCTGACGAGTACGGTGATGACCGCAGAGCGGCTTGGCAACGCGGTCAAGATGCGGCGGAGCTGGCACGGAGAGCAGCAGCAGCAGCAGCAGCAGGGCCGTCCAGTGGCCCGGCATGAGTGGTTGACCCTGCAGCACCAGCTGATGCGGTTTAGGGCTCCAGAGCCGAGTGCAAGGTCATGCTGGAGCCTCCTGTTGGGTGCAAATCTTAATTCTGCACGTCAACCAGCCGCCTGCATGAAGTCCCACATTTTGTGTGTGTTCTGTGCGCATTCGTTTTTGCATTTTGTTTCATGTGTTTTTTATTGTGGGCACATGACAAGTCATGACGGATCATGACGAGTCATGAACTCTCATGACGATTCATGTTCGTTCGTTTATTTTCATGAACAATCGTGAGTGTCCATGAAAGTTACGAGCGTCATGAAAGCTCATGAAAGCTCACGAGTTTTCATGAGCACTCGTGGCGAGTGTCGAGTGTGTCGGGGGGGTGCTGGGCTCGAGTCTTTGACTCGGCCCCTTTGACCAATTTCGCGCTGGTCAAAAAGTGCGCGAAAGTCAGGACCCGCGCGTGGGGTCCAGACATACGCGTGTTGCCCCTCAGGGCCCGCGCGTGTGTCGCAACTGTTGCGACCGTGCACAGTGGCACGATCGCAACAAGACAGGGCTAATTATGGCCCTGTCACGCGCAGGACAAAGCACGATCGCGTCAGCGATCGTCTTTTCCTGCTTGACCGAGGGTGCCTCGGGATTACGGCTGACCAACCGTATCCCGCGCTGACTTGGAAACAGCCGACTTCGCACGAAAGTCACGCTGCTTAGAGTGACAATTTCTCAACAGGTACAAAACGGTGAATTCCGTTTTGATAACGGTAAAAGCCGTTTTACAACTGGGAAACGGGAATCCCACACGAGTGTCCATGATTCCACACAAGAACTCATGAATATTCGTGACGGGAGTCAGCAGGGGAGTTTGGCTTCAGCACAAATGGATTACAGTTAATTCTCATGAGGCAGATTGAGCCAAATTCTTCAGCCGTTTCACAACCGTTTTCTATTACAGCAAAGCGAAGACATGGATTCCAGTTAAGCAACCGTTTTATGCTTCCCTTTGTGTGTTTAGGACTTTATATAAATGTGTGCTTGTATTTGGTTCAAGTCAGTGAATGCTTTTATGCTTTTCAAAGCCCAGAATTCTACTACTACGTATTGACGAGAGTAGAAACGTAACGTGGTGCTGCCGAAACGCTGCTCGACCAGATTACTCACTCCACAATTCAAGCAAGGCATAACTACTCACTTTATTATTCTTACGCCCTTGGCTATGAGGTGACATGCTGTCACACTCGGAGGGTATAAAGTGAAGTTAAGTGTTGCCAAGTTTGAGTTCGTGGTTCAGTTTTGAATGCTTCCGCATAATACTTAGACTCAACACGTGGTATCAGAGCTGGTACTTAGTCGTTTCGAACGTACCCGACGATGGGAGAGGCTGGTGCACTGAGGGTGCTGCTGCTGCTGTGGTTCTTCACCTCCCCTCGTTCTCTACGAACTTGGTGAGTGGAGCTGACCTACAGGATGTGTGGGTTGACCAGTTCACCCCTGGAGGTCAGCGTGTGACACACTGTACGTGCTCCCGGACTGGTCGGCACCTGGCCACGTTCACCCGTGAGCCTGGCTCGAGTCTGTACACACTGACCACTGTGTCCCCTCAGGTAGCTGCGTCTGCGTCTGCGTCTGATCAGGTCAGCTAGCGGCCCCCTGCTCGTGTCGCGCTCTATCGCACCAGACCCTCCTTTGGCACCACCGCCTTGGTCACCCCTCGGTGCAGCGCCTTCGTAGCATGCACCGCCGTTTCCTTGTTTCTGGACTTCCAGAGACTCTGCCTCCTCTACCACCCTCGCCTGCTCCTCCCTGTCTTCCATGTGTCGAGGGGCGGCAGCGCGCCGCTCCTCACTCCTCCTCGTTCCCTCCCACAGAGGCTCCCCTGCAGACTCTCCACCTGGACGTGTGGGGCCCAGCCCGCGTCCGTGGACAGGGCCACGAGCGGTACTTCCTGCTGGTCGTCGACGACTACACGCGTTACACCACGGTCTTCCCCTTGCGCAGCAAGGGGGAGGTCCCTGATGTTTTGATCCCCTGGTTCCGCGCTGTTCATCTCCAGCTCCGCGAGCGGTTCCAGTCGGACTTTCCTGTCCTGCGTCTGCACTCTGACAGAGGTGGTGAGTTCTCCTCAGACCTCTTGGCAGCCTACTGTGCGGAGCACGGCATCCGCCAGACGTTCACGCTTCCGGCCTCTCCGCAGCAAAATGGGGTTGCTGAGCGCCGCATTGGCTTAGTCATGGAGGTCGCTCGTACCTCCATGATCCATGCGGCTGCCCCCCATTTTCTGTGGCCGTTTGCGGTCCGGTACGCCGCGCATCAGCTCAACCTCTGGCCCCGTGTCTCTTTGCCGGAGACCTCGCCCACACTGCTGTGGACGGGGAAGGTTGGCGATGCGTCGCGTTTCCGGATCTGGGGTGCTCATGCCTTTGTCCGCGATACCACCGCGGACAAGCTCTCCGCCCGAGCTGTTCCCTGTGTCTTCCTTGGCTTTGTCCCTGACGCGCCTGGTTGGCAGTTTTACCACCCCACCTCGCGCCGTGTCTTCCCCTCTCAGGACGTCACGTTCGACGAGTCGGTTCCCTTTTACCGTCTCTTCCCCTACCGCACTGCCCCTCTCCCCTCCCTGCCGCTCTTCCTCGCTCCAGGTGCTCCCCAGGTAGACCCCCTCCCCGCTCCCGGTCCTGCTCCTTCAGGTGTGTCTCAGGTAGACCCTCCTCCCTTGACTGCGCCGGTTGAGGTCACTGGTGACTCGGGTCCTGCTGAGGGTGGTCCTGCTTGGGGTGCTGCTTCTGGGGGTGCTGAGCCTGGGGGTGCGGAGCCTGGAGGTGCGGAGCCTGGGGGTGCGGAGACTGGAGGTGCTGAGCCTAGGTGTGAGGAGTCTGGGGGTGCTGAGCCTGGGGGCGCTGAGGCGTCTGGTGAGCAGTCTCCCTGGAGCGGCTGTCTCCGTAGTCGCTCCGCTGGTGCCTCGCCGCTGCACTCTCGTCGTCGACTCCCTCTCTCCCCACAGCAGCTGCTTGAGTGGTACGTTGGCCGTCAGGGTCGCGCTGCTGGAGCTAGGGGCCCTGCTGCGGGAGGTGCTGGAGCTGGTGACTCTGCCACTGGAGTTGTTTCTGCTGGGGGTTCTGGAGCTGCTGAGGGTGCTGGAGCTGGAGGTTCTGGAGCTGCTGGAGGTGCTGGCGCTGGTGGCGCTGGAGCTGGAGGTTCTGGAGCTGCTGAGGGTGCTGGCGCTGGAGTTTCTGGAGCTGCTGCGGGTTCTGGCGCTGAGGGTTCTGAGTCTGCTGTTGCGCGGCTTCCTTGGAGTAGCCGCCTTCGTCTGCGTGTGCCTCTCACCTCGCAGCAGCTGCACGACTGGTACGGTCGGCGTCAGGGTCGCGCTTCTGGAGCTCGGGGCTCTGCCGCTGGAGGTACTTCTGCTGACGTCACTGGAGCTGGGAGTGGTGCTGGTCCCGGAGGTGCTCGTACTGGAGGTAATGGAGCTGCTGGGGCTGGAGGTGCTGAGCCTGAGGGTGCTGCTGCTGGAGGCACTGAGGCTGGAGACCCTGGGACTAGAGGTGCCGGTTCTGGGGGTGCTGCTGTTGGTGGAGCTGGTCCTGGAGGAGCTGGCGCTGAGGGTTCTGTAGCTGCTGGAGGTACTGGCGCTGGTGGCGCTGGAGCTGGAGGTTCTGGAGCTGCTGAGGGTGCTGGCTATGGAAGTTCTGGAGCTGCTGGAGGTGCTGGAGCTGCTGGGGGTACTGGAGCTGCTGGTGCTGGTGTCACTGCACAGCCGCGCCTGTTCTTCGCTCCACCGTCTCCGTCGTCTCAGCCACCGCCTGACTCTGTGCTCCCGTTACAGCCTGGCTCACCGCTGCCTGCTCCTTCTCCTTACACTGAGCAGCTAGGGAGTCTTACTGAGCGTCGTGAGCCTGCGTCGCGTCCTGTCTCGCCTGTCTGTTCTGGTCGTTCCGGTCGTCGTGTTCCTCGTCCGCGTCTGCCGGCTGTCCCCGACACCCACCTCGTAGTCCGTCGTTCTTCCTCTCCTCCACGGCGTGTTCCTCTGCCGTCCCCTCCTGCGTCTTCTCTGCTTGTCGTTGCGGACCCCGAGTCTGACCGGTTTCGTGCTGAGCACCCTACTGTCACGCGTCTGCTAGCCACTGTTGTCACTGACCCGTCGTTTGAGTCTGCTGCTACGTCTGCCTTAGTTGATGAGCTTGTTGACTTTGCTGCTGCCTGTCGTCTAGACTACGCCGCTAGTCTTGTTGCTGAGTCTGAGTCTGTCTGTCCTCCGTCCGTCGGGGGTGAGTGTGCTCTTGGCACGGACGTCCTTGAGGACAGGCAGGAGGACCTTGAGTGTCTTGCAGCCGCTGCGCCTCATCTCGTGTCCATGCTGCTTGCCCCTGAGGGAGACCCGGATGCTCCAGACATCCCGACCCCGCGCTCTTACGCTGAGGCGATCGCGGGTGAGTACTCCTCTCAGTGGCAGACAGCCATGGACGCAGAGATGGCATCCTGGAAGTCCACAGGCACCTACGTCGACGAGGTTCTCCCACCTGGGGCGAACATCATCAGTGGCATGTGGATTTTCAGGGTGAAGCGGCCGCCAGGTTCTCCGCCTGCCTTCAAGGCGCGTTACGTTGCACGAGGTTTCAGTCAGCGAGAGGGAGTAGACTTCTTCCAGACCTTCTCCCCCACCCCGAAGATGACCACTCTTCGGGTGCTGCTGCACGTTGCCGCTCAGCGTGACTACGAGCTTCACTCTCTTGACTTCAGCACAGCCTTCTTACAGGGCAGCCTGCACGAGGAGATCTGGCTGCGCCGCCCACCTGGCTTCACTGGGTCGTTCCCTCCTGGTACCCAGTGGAGCCTCAGGCGGCTGGTCTACGGTCTCCGCCAGGCGCCACGTGAGTGGCACGACACACTGAGGACGACACTTGCGGCTCTTGGGTTTGCTCCGTCGACTGTTGACCCGTCGCTCTTTCTCCGCACCGACACTTCGCTGCCGCCGTTCTACATCCTCGTGTACGTCGACGACTTGGTCTTTGCCACTGCTGACACTGAGGCTCTCGCCCTGGTGAAGTCGGAGCTGCAGAAGAGACACACGTGCACAGACCTGGGTGAGCTGACAAGCTATCTTGGCTTGCGGATCACCCGGGACAGAGCACGCCGCACCATCACACTGACTCAGTCACACATGGTGCAGCAGGTCCTTCAGCGCTTCGGCTTCACCTGGTCCTCGGCACAGCACACTCCTCTGGCTACAGGTCACTCGCTCTCAGCTCCACCTTCGGACGAGTCCGTAGAGCCGAGTGGTCCTTATCCAGAGCTAGTGGGCTGCCTCATGTACCTAATGACCTGCACTCGTCCTGACCTTGCGTACCCTCTAGGCCTTCTGGCTCGCTACGTGGCTCCTGGTCGGCACCGAAAGGTGCACATGGATGCTGCTAAGAGGGTACTACGCTACTTGTGCAGTACATCGGGCATGGGGCTCGTGCTTGGAGGACGGAGCGACGTTGTCCTCACTGGGCACTCAGACGCTTCTTGGGTTGACGACCAGGCTACACAGCGGTCGTCACAGGGTTACACCTTCAGCCTTGGCTCTGGTTCGGTCTCTTGGCGTTCTACACGCTCGTCTTCAGTTCTCAACTCCAGTTGTGAGGCTGAGATCTACGCCACAGCCATGGCTGCACAGGAGTTACGCTGGCTCACCTACCTGCTGACCGACTTGGGAGAGCGGCCTCGTTCTCCTCCAGTGCTGTACGTCGACAACAAGGCCGCCATTGCCTTGTGTCAGGAGCACAGACTGGAGCACAGAACGAAGCACATCGCTCTGCGTTACTTCCTGGCTCGAGAGTTGCAGCAGCGTGGTCAGCTTCGTCTTGCTCACGTGGCCACTCGGGCCAACACAGCTGATATATTCACCAAGGCGCTTCCGTCTGGTGATCATCAGCGTTTCTGCACTCTGTTAGGCCTTGTGCCCACGTTTTCTCACTTGCTGTAGACTTTGCTTGTACTGTGATCTATAGATATATACCTGCATGCTTGCTCTTGTTAGGTAGTGATCACTGTGCTTTGCTGCATATACATCTCTGCATGTGAACTGGCCTTGTGGCCTCTTACTTGTGCTCAGAGTGTGTGGTGACTTTGTGATCCACCCTGAGCTGTGTTTTGTTTCTTCTCTTGTCTGGTCTTGTGACCTTTGCTTGCTCTGGCTATCCCCCATTTCGCCTATGGGGGTGTGTCAAACAATATATGCATGTTTAGGTTATCTAGGCTGTATGGGGGTTAGCACTAGGGGGTACAATATTTCCCTCGACATTCTTCTTGTACCCCCCCTTCACCTAATGACATCATCACTTCCTAGTATTCTAACACCTCCCTCCCTCCCTCCCCCCCTCCCTCCCTCCCTCCCTCCCTCCCTCCCTCCCTCCCTCCCTCCCTCCCTCCCTCCCTCCCTCCCTCCCTCCCTCCCTGCCTCCATCCCTCCCTGCGTGCCTCCATCCATCCCTGGCAGGGCTGTCAATGTCAGGGCATTAGCCCTGATTGCCCGGTTCAACATCAACATCAAGGCCTGATTTTCTTTGTTCGCCGGAAATTGATGGGTTCTGCTCAGCCCAGTTGTGATTGCTCAGGGGCTGGTTTTAGACCCTTTCTCTGAATGCTTGTGTGTGTGCTTTTGTTAGTGTGCAGTGGAACCCTGCATTGACTTAGGGCGTACCTCCCCCCTCCCCTCTCCCCCCCCACCATAGTACCGTAGCTGGTCTGGAAATTATGCTATTGAGTTATTATTTCTGAACCTTCAGGTGAAAAAACATTGCGTGCCCAGCCCAGGTACGGTAGATCTGAAAGATTCGGTGCTAAGGGGTGAATGTGATACAGTACAAAGAGTCTGTTGTTGTTCTGTTCACACAGCCCTACAAAACTACTGCCAATGTCTCAGCAGGGGAAACAGCCACCCTCAGCTGCTCCCAGCACCACCAGGCAATGCTGTGCCTCTCCCCAGTGAGGGCCTGCTGCTGCCTCTCATGCCACGCCTGGCACATGATGGCCCCAGTACAGCAGCACGTTGTCTCCCTTTCCTCTTGCACGCTGCATGCAGCAGCACCACCCCCCACACTGACATTCAGCACTCCCAGTGTACTACTGCCCCCACTTCCCCCACTGTCCCTCCTGCCATCCTCTGATTCAACTGCCTCGTTAGGCGCTCCATAGCGTGCTCTGGGACAGCTGGCGGTTCTTGATTGGAGGGCTGTGAGGAGTGAGTGCAGCCAGGGGTAGTGCAGGTGTGGGGATGGTGAGTCTGGAGCAGACAGCAGGAAGGATGGGACGGAGAACCTGCAGTGGGGGTCCAGGGGGAGACGGGAGGTGGGTGGAAGGCGGGTGGGGAGAGGTGGGAAAGAAATAGGGGTGGGAAAGAGAGGGGTGGGAAGGAGAGAGTGCTCGATGGTGTGAGTCCTTTGGGTGCTGGTGGTGATGCCTGTGGTTCTGGTGCTGGGGGCAGCTGTTTGGTAGTGCTACCGCAACAAGTGAGTGTGCAAGTGAATGGGTGACACACGAGCGCCAACGCAACATAGAGCAGGCAGACACACGCACGGAACAGCCATGCATGCCAACACTCGGTGCGCATTCAATGGGCTGGCTTTGAGGCGCCTCAAAACTAGTGCCCATGCAGTGTAGAGGAGGCAGCTACACACATGCACGGAACTGAACAGCCATGCATGCCTAAAGACTCGGTGCTTGGTCAATGGGGTGTGGGTTGAAGATTCAAGCAGTGAACGCACCTGAGCAGCTCGTGTGTATGTGTGTTGGTGGGACGGAGGGAGCCATGCTGCTGTGAATCATGCGGCCTTGACCCCTCACTGCCTTTCTCCCCTGCACTGCTGTTGTGGGGAATGGAGCAACGACTCAAATAGATGCGGTGCAGTGCGGTGGCATGCGGTGGCAGGCATCATGATGGGAGGAGCTCACATAGGATTGGAGATGCAGGATGCCATGCAGTGGGATGGGTGCGGTTCCATGAGGTCGCATGTGCTTTGCCATGCCATGTCACAGCATGCCATGTCACAGCATGCCATGTCACATCATGCCATGTCACATCATGCCATGTCTCATCATGCCATGCAGCACAGCGGTGCACGGCACGCACCAGGCAGCCGAGACAGAGAGCACGGAGAGTGGTGTGGCAGCAAGGCAGCGACCCATGGCTTCACCGGGCGGCACTGCTGGCTGCTCTGAGGGGAACGGCTGAGGTGAGGCGTGCAGGGGGGGCAGGGCGGGCAGCAGATACACCACGGGGTAGCCCAACAGCCAGCTGGGGAGGGGGGGTGGGGGGGGGGGGGGGGAAGGGGAGGGCACATGCAGGATGAGAGATGGAGGGGCAGGGATGGTACGGGACGTAGGGAAGGTGAGGGGAGTTGACTAGATGGAGGGTAACAGGAAGCCGTGGTGATCAGCACAGAAAGAGTTTGATGGCCGTGCTGGTGTTGAGAAGCAAGAGAGAGTTCCTTTTTTTGCAGCGAAGCAACCTGGGTGTGTGGAGAGAAGGACGAAAGGGCAAGGGAAGAATGGGAGGAGAAAGACAGTGGATGTGTTGGCTTGCAAAAAGACGTATGCGTGGGTGTGGGGGTGGGTGTGGGGCACGTGGGCGCGTACGGGTGCTTCTGTGCACGTGTGCGTGCGTGCGTGCGTGCGTGCGTGCGTGCGTGTGGGCACGCGTTTGTTAGTGGGAGGGGTAGGGAAGAGCGGTATTTGCGTCACTAGCACTCACCCATTAACAGTGGGCAGGGCCACATGGCATGCCCTCAACGCGGCATCACCCTGCATCACCACCACTGCTCCTCTGCCGCTCCCCGTCGCCCTCCCAACACCACAATCACTGCCCCTGCCTTCTCCATCCTCCCCACCTCCTCCTGTTCCGCTACGACATCCATTATCCCCATGCAACCTCTCCCGTACCTCCTGCTGCTGCTGTTGTTGCTCCTGCTGCCATCGCCTGGCCTTTCTCCTGGGCTTGCTAACTCGCACGAAGCCATCATCCTCTGCACGCACTTCTCCCCCTGATTCCCCCACCCTCTCGTGTCCTCCTCTACTCCCCTCTGTTGTTTCTGCTGCTGCTCCTTCTGTTCCCAACGCACCCTCCTGCTGCTGCTGCTGCATCGGCGGCGGGTGCGAGGGGCGTGTGGTTGTGGTGGCGAGAGCTATGGGTGGGGACAGTAGGTTGAGGACGAAGGAGAGGAGGTGGGTGAGAGTTGCCTGGGCGTCAGTGGGAGGCACCTCCTGCACGTGTCATGGCATATGCACACAAGCATGCCCATGAGCGTTCACATTAGCGTTCAAATGAGTGTTCGCATGAGCATTCACATGGCAGACACGCAGAGAGTGGATGGAATGACAGTGTGGTCAAGTGGGAGAACATTAGTGAGGAGGGGAGGTGCACGGGCGTACTGGCACATGTGCATGCATGGCAGCGTAGGAAGAAGGAGTCAACTCAGGACTGCAGACAGGAGCTGGCTAAGCTGAGCCACGGAAATGGCTAAGCACTTGAGGTACAGCACTCACTACCCACAACACTCTCATACTCCCTGCCACTACGCCTGACCCCATGCCCATCATCCAAGATGCACACGGTTCACCTGCAGAGAGGCATTGCGGCATGCAAGCAGCAGGGGCGGCATGCGGGACAGCACGGGTAAGAGGCCATCCAGTGCCGTGCATGCTGAGACGCTTGGCGCTGTGCCATCATACACTGTTGACAGCGGCACTGGCAGTGGCGACAATGGCCGCGCCCCCAATGCACCAGTGTGTGTCCCTCCCTCTGCCTGTGCAGCCAGCGAATGCAGTGCACTCACGCGCACCAGGTAGCACGCCCCGCCCATCTCCACCACCCCCACGTCCCCTGCTGCTGCTGCCACCGCAGCATCGCACAGCGGGAAGGGGTGAGGCGGGGCGTGGGGGGTGTAGGGCGAGGAGGGGTTGGGGGCGGGCGGGAAGGCGGGTGGAGGAGAGGCGGTAGGGGGAACAGCAGAGGTGGAGAAGGGGGAGGGTGGGTGTGGAAGGGGGGATGACTGCTGGGGTGGGTGATGGTGGGAGCAATGCTGGTGGTGTTGATGGTTTGGAAAGGCATGGCAGGAGTCTGAGAGGAGAGGCGATAATTCCTGCAGCAGAGCGGGAATGGTCAAAGGAAGAGGGAGGAGGCAGAAGGGTAGGGAGGAGAGTGGGACTAGTAAGGGGAAATGCGGACAAGGTTCAGCGTGCTGTGTGCATGGAGAAGGAGCGAGAAGGGAGACAGAGGTGCATGGTGGAGCATGGTGAATGGAGTATGGTAAATGGAGCATGGTGATTGCGAGCATGCGAGGATGCGACTGACCGAGCAGCGTACCTGATTGAGGTGCGAGAGCAGAGCAACAAGGTCGTGCGAGGAGGGGCAGCAGTAGTCCAGCAGCACACAGAAGCGCAGCCCATGGCACACACTCAGCACGTCTGCATGCACACACCACGCACCACACGGCACAAGAAACAAGCAGCTTCTGAAGACTCAGGCACAAAGTGTGGCGTGGCGTGTGGTCGTGAGAATGCAACGTGCAATGCAACCACGGCAGCAGCAGCGCGGCAAGTCTCTGGAAGGGACGCTCTTCGCATGACGCTGCACACGCCTTCTTGCTGCTGCTGATGATGCTACTCCCGAACCGCACGCGCTCTACAGTCTCTCGCGCTCACTCCGGCGATTCCTCGCTGCGCACCCACCGAATCCCAGTCGCTCCCTCGCCCCGCGCGACAGCCCCGCCCGTGATCCCCGCACCGCCACCAGCACGCGACGCGACGCCTCCATATCCGGCTCCGCGTTCTCCGACGGCGGCTGTCGGCGGCGCTAAGCCCGTCCCCTGCGCGACGCGCGGACGGCGGAAGGGGAGAGGCGGAATGAGGTGGGAAACGGGCTCCGCAAGGGTCGTGGGGAGGAGATGACGGGCGGAAACGGATGGAGGGACGGAGGCACAGGGGGGTTGCACCCGAGGGAAAGGAGCGTTGGTGTGTGGAGGTGCGGCTTCTGATGCAATGGGCGCTGTGCTAGCGAGCGAGTGACGACGAGGGGGTTGCCAGAGAGCGATGGTACGACAGATGGGCGCACAAGGAGGCCACAATCCACGTGTATTGGCACGGACTCACTATTGTTGTGCTGTGTGCGCTGGTGAAGCTGTTCAGTGGAGGTAGCAGACTACGTGGGGCTGTCCTCCTCTGTCGCAGCACTCGCGCTGAGTTCCATTCCCCTTCGCTTCGATGGACCCGTTAGCGTACACTTTGATTGCCCATATGCCGTGGTGAAATGGAATAAAGAAATGTACCTTATTTTCTTTTGCTGCCCAGTTGGTCACTAAGGAAAAAGCACAAGGATTTACAATTGGAGCAAAGGGCACACACATTCACAATTGGAGCACTAAGGCTGCTGTTCCACTCGCAAATCACAGAAAAAGAGGTGGGCAGGGGCTGTGCAGACAACAATGAAAAGGACACACAGCGGCCTTGCACTTGCATTCGCACCCGCAATGCTGCAAGCACACAGCTTTGGGAGCTGCAGTGCTGCCATGCACCACCAACCACCACCACGCACTGAGTGCATAGACTTGTGAGTCTGCTTTACAAGTGCGTGCTGGAGAGAGTACCGGTATTAGATGGCGAGGCGGATAGAAGACTGTACAATGGCACACACAGCATGCAGTACGCTTTGAGTGCTGAGCACAAGGCGACAGGCGGGTGTGAGAGATAGGTAGGAGCGGCTCCAGCGCAGCCCAGCGTGAGCAGAGCAGCATGCAGTAACAAGCGAGCACTGGGTCGTGTGGGTGTATCACCCAGCCTCGAGAGAGATTGAGGCAACAGCACGATGGGACGGTGGCGTGATCAAGCCAGGAACAGTACCACTTCCAAGTGCTGTTCCAACACATGGTATCAACACAAGTACCCACCCAACAGTAGCACAGCCAGGCAGCCCCACAGATCCTGCACGCCCCGGCATTAACTCACAGCATGCTGCACACGGCAACGCATCACATCACTCAGCGCAACAACAACCACACCGCACCACACATCCTGCAACCGGCATCACCAATCACTCCCCACCATGGCCTCACAGCCCCCAGCCCCGGTCGAGGAACTGCCCAACACCCCCCAGGAGCAGCACAGCGAGGTCAGAGAGTGAGGCGAGCACCACCTCCCAGAGACACAGGTCCAGCGCCAGCACCACCGACAGCAGCAGCAGCGCTGCCGTCTGCTGCCGCGTCATGGGCCACCCTGTCGCACCCGCTAGGTGGCTTAGGGACTTGTCTAGTAGAGCGTGTGCTTGCTCGGAGAGATGTGTGAGGTGAGGGGAGCGGAAGGTGGGGATGGAGGAGGAGGAGAGAGGGGAGGGTGACGTGGATGGTGTTGATGTTGGGATGGCAGTGCTGGGCATGGTGGGATTTGCGAGGAATGGGGAGGGGCGACGTGAGGCAGGGCGGGGCAGCGCGGGCAGACCGAGTGGAGAAGCCGCTGCAGCGGATGAACTGGCTGCTGCTGCTGCGCTTGCAGCAGTAGCAGCAGCAGAAACAGAATCCACGTCGGAAGGCGGCACAGCAGAAGTGGAAGGAAGAGGAGGTGCAGGCAGAGGAGCGAAGGCGGGAGTGGGGATGGACCAGGCGGTGCGCCAGGAGAGGTCACTCGGTTCCAGGCCGAGCTCAGTGGTGAGGCGCAGATGCATGTCAGGCAGGTGACCGCTGCCGTAGAACACTGCAATGCGCCTGCTGCCCGCCTTCAGCGCCTCGTGCACCTCCTCCATGCACGCCCGGTTGCGCTCCCCGATGATTACTGATGACGCCATCACGCCTGCTGCCCCGTCCAACGTGCTGGAAAGGGGCGGGGCCAGGGGTAAAGGCGGTAGAGAGTGAGTGGGGGGGAAGGGGGAAGCAGCAGAGTGCAGGTGAGGTGAATTTGGTAGCGGGTGGTGTGTTTCGTCGCAATGCTGCGGATTATTTGTGGACAAGCGGATGACATGACAGCCATAGCCATCCCACCCCCCTCTTAGCACTGCAATGGCACCACCCGCTCACAAAGAGAATCACACATCCCATTCACCACCCCAACGTCTCACCCCCCCACACACTCACTCCCTGCAACCCCTCCCTGCAACCCTCCATTCACCCTTCCCCACCATCACTCCCACTTCTTTTCCCCCACCCATCCCTCATCTCCCCATCCCCCTCCCATCCCACGCACTCGAGTGTGATCTGCCTCGCAAGCACCACTTTAAGAGCAGAAGACAGGTCGAGGTTGAGCAGGGCCTGGAACTCAGCGCCCTTCACCAGCGCACTGCTCCCGGGGCCCTCGGGCGCACACACGCCCTCTATCACCAGCAGCCCCACCAGCGGCATCGGGACAAAGCGCGCCGCCCAGAGGAGCATGCGGCGCAGCGGGCCGAGGTTGGGCGCGAGGGGGCGCGCTGCGGTGGCGCGGACGATGGCCTTGGTGGAGCGGAGAGCTACCTCGCGCGCGAATGACAGCATGCTCTCGCCCCGCTCCTCCTGCTCGGAGAAGGAGCATGGGGGATAGGGGCGTAGGTCGGGAGAGATGAGGTGAGTTGGAGGGAAGGAGAGTACTTGGTGGTGAGTTGCTATGTTACGAGGTGGTTTGAGAAGCAAAGGAGTGATGTTGAGAGTTGGGGTTAGAGAAGATCCTCACAGCACACAGAGAGAACAGCAGATGTGATGGTCAAAATAAAGCCAGGGGAATACGGGGAGGGAAGGGAGACGAGCGAGCCGGCCACGAGAAGAAACGACAGCATGCCTTGTGGGAAGGTGCAGTGTGGATGGACAGCAGAGAGACAGCTTGTAATTGGTGGAGGCGGCGGCAGCGGCAGCGGAGAATGAGGGGGGGATGGGTACGCAAGCAGGCAGGTAGGCAGGGAGTGGCTGACGGGGCGAGAGGGAGAGTCCTCACGGGGAGAAGCGAGAGAGTAGGCGAGGAATAAAGGGAGCGGGCGAGGGGGAGAGAGAGTGGGCGAGAAGGAGAGAGTGCGGGCGAAGGGGAGAGAGGGCAGGCGAAGGGGGGAAAGCGGGTGAGGGGGAAGAGCGCAGGTGAGGGCGTGCATGCCTGGAGTTGCAGGAAGGTGGCGAGGTCGAGGTCAGCGTGGTAGAAGTTGGAGCGGCGGTAGTCCACGTGGTCCAGCTGGAACGACAGCCGTAGCATGCGCGCCATCAAGCTCTGTATCGCCCCCACCACTCCCCGCCGCCTGCCATGCCGCGTCGGGGTAGGGGGAGGGGGAGGGGGAGGGGGAGAGGCGGGAGCAAGGGGGGGGAGAGTGGGACGGGGAGGGTAGCATGGACGAGGGGAGGAAGAAGAAACGTTTGCTTTGGAAGAGGTGGAGAAGCGAGGAGAGAGCAAGGGGGAAGGGAGCAGGTGCAGCAGGTGGGGTATGGCGAGGGGAGTGCGTCAAGGGAGGGGTGTGCGTTCGGTGCAGAGCAGAATGGAGAGGGGGGAGGAGAAGGGGAGTCGGATTAGTTGGAGCGATGGGACTGTGGCTAGTGGCGCTGCTCATGGGGACTACCACGGTGGACCCTACACATGCATTGCACCGCACCACATCATACCCTTAAGTCACCCCTTCCGCCACCATCCCTCACAAACTCAACACGCCCCCTCTCCCCAGTTCCCCGTTCCCCGTTCCCCCTTTCCCCCGCGCCGGCGCCCCCCTTTGCATCCGGGCGCGCACCTGCGCTTGGGGTTGCGCTTGGGCGGCATCCAGCGGTCGCTCTCCTTGCGCCCCACGAACCGCCGCCACCTGCTGTCCCGTCGCTGCGCGTCCTCGCCGTCCGCGTCGCCGCCAGCGGGCCTCGCGGAGGCGGCGGCGGCGGAAGCGCGCTGCTTATCAGCAACCATCTCGTAGAGCACGCGGTCGTACGTCGCCAGCTCCGCCTGCAACGCGTCGTAGTAACTGGGCTCGCGGGGGGATGGGAGGAGGGGGAAGGGGAGGGAGAGGGTGGGGGGAAGAGAGGGGGGGAAAAGGGGGAAGGGGGGAGGGGGAAGAGGAGGGGGATGGGGAGCGGAAGGTGGAAAAGTGAAGTGTGGAGGGGTGAAAAGGGGAAAACAGGAAGGCGGACGGCGTGGGAACGGCACGAGCAGCAGAGGAAAGATTGAGAGCGAGAAGGGCGTGTTGCGAGCAACAAGAATGCGGAGAGAGACGAGGATGCCGACGGGAGCGAGAAGAGCAAGGGGCGGAAGGAGGCGGGACGTAGAGGGAGGGGGAGAACGGGGGGAGGAGGGGGGGAGAGGGGGGGGAGAGGTGGGAGGAGATGGGGGAAGAAGGGAAGAAATGAAGGTGGTGTGGTGGGCGAGGAGGGTGTGGAGCGGCTTACTCTTGATCGGCAATGTGCACCACGGACACTAGATCCACCTGATGCCATGCACACATGCATGCATGCACGCACGCGCACACACGACCATGCACACACACATGCCCATGCCCACACCCAGTCACGCCGCACACACACACAAACAGCACACGGAAACAGGACGCGGACAGATAATAAGCCAGCAAGTCAAGGGAAAGTTGGAGCTTGCGCGCCGCACTGGGTTATCAGGGAGTGATTTGCGCGCGCACATTGAGGCGCTCATCAAGCTTTTAACGGCTCCACCGGAAGTGAGCGCTGAGGGCAGCAGCGCACAGCGGATGCGCTTCCGACCGCCCGCGTACGTAATGCCAGGTCCTCATCCCAGGAGTTAAACGCGCTTTCCACTCTCCTCCATCGTTCTCCATCTCCCTTCTCCGTCCCCCTCCCTCCGCCTCAACCACCGCCTCCATTATTCCTGCCATCCCCCCTTCCCTCCCCCTCCCCCCTGCCTTTCCCCTCTTCCTTTCCCCGCCCTTGCTCCCCCCACCGTCTCCGCCGCCTCACCTGCACGGGCGGTCGCAGCGCGTTCCACCAGCGGGCGGGGCGGCGGTACGACAGCACGGCGGTCTGCAGCTCCACGCGCTGCGACGCCGCGTCCTCGTGCAGCCGCAGAAAGTCCGCGATCGAGCTGCCCATCTCACCGCGCACCGCCGACCCTTCCCCCTCTTCACCCCCCGCCCCTTCCCCGTCTCTCTCCCCCTGTGCCACGATTCCGCCTGCCCCGTCCGGCGCATTCCGGCGGGTGGTCTCTGCCCCGATCGGGCTCTCCGCGGGTGGCGCGCGCCATCCGTTGAAAATGCCCGCGCGCGAGACGTTTCGTCGTTGCCGCCTGTTCCGGCTGCTTGCGCGCGAGCTCGCGCCGGAGAACTCGTTGGTAGCTACGGGGCGCGTAGGGGACAGGCGGCAGGCTACTGGCGAAACGATGAGGCGAGCGGGCTTGGCGCGGGGGGAGCGGAGAGGAGCTAGCGCAGAGCGGGGCGTGCGGGGATGGAAAATCGGTGATTGGGAAGATGCGAGTGCGTGTGGCGGGCGGGACACTAGGAGTGACGATGAGCGTGACGCCATTCGGGACGGGCGGAAGGGAGGAAATACGGGAACGATTGGGGTGGGAGACGATGGCGGCACGACGACTGGTCCTGAAGATGGAATGGCGCTGTGAAGGAATTTGCAAAAGTGTCGCTTGTAAATGCGGCCATGCGAGGACAAGGATAGTCGATCGAACAGCAGCAGTGTTGCAGTTTATCGCGCGGCTCGAGAAAGAGGACGTGGACAGGCGGGGTGGGTGGTGGTGGTGGTGGTAGGAGAGGTAGGAGAGGGAGAGAGCAGGTGGGGACTTGGGTTGGCGGGTAGCGGAGGAGCAACGGGACGGACGGAAGGGATGGTACAGTCGATGCTCACCTAGTCCTGTTGAATTTGCCGGTCCGATTAAAAACGTTTCCCTCGTGCATTCGTGAACGGACAACGGCCCCTCATGTACAGTCACATCGGTAGATCGTAGCCGTCGATCGCGCGGCTTATCACGCTGTCAACCATCCTTTCGTCAGATATTTTGAAAACGGCACATGGTAATTCGTTAACCCCTCCACTTGCGCGCTACAGTCCCATTTTTTCCAGTGGCGAATTTGGGCGAGGTAGGCGATATGTGCTCAGTCCCCGCCCTTTGATAGGGCGAAGGTGGGGTTACTCTAATGGGCATCGACTGTATGATGTTGGGTGGATCCGAACCGATCAGTCGCCGATATGGACTCTTTTGTGCTTTGTAAGCAGTGCAGTGACAGATGTGGAACGCTTATTTGTTGAACTTGTGTGTGACAACTGGATTTCCAGCTCCCTCCAGTGAAGGACCAGAAAAAGTTGTGAGGACTGGGAGCATGCCACGTCAAATACCACCACTGGGTTCAACCCATGTGAATGCAACACGTGACGAATCTGACGTCAAACATCCTCCCCACAACTGTCTCCACATCCAGACACATGTACTTATACATTTCTCATTGGTGTAAATAAAGAACAGTTGCAGACATATTTCAAGTTAGTCCCCTTTCGCCTAAATCCCGAGGAATACGGTTGTTGAGTCAGCTAAGTCCAGGATGAAATACGGCTCAAGAATTAAGCGGAAAAGGACTTAGCAAAATCACCCCTCTGGTTAGAGACACGTCTTACGATAATTCCATTTTGTTGAGAAATGGGTGTCTTATGAAAGGCAAAAAATATATACCTAGCACATGGAGTTTTCCAGATGTTTTTTTACATGTTCTGGGGTTTTTTCACACTGTACGCAAATGATTGTGCATAGAGGCTGAGATAACGCAGGAGGTAAAGGAAGAAGAGAAGGAGGTGGGACATGACAAGGAAGAGTACGAAGGAAAAGAGAGTGGAGTCTAGGAATAGGATGTTGAAGTAAGCGGGGATTAACGTTAGCATTCCCGAAGGTGCAGCTGTATCGCACCGCTACTATCGAAGCAACAAGAGCAGCAGTATCGGATCAGCCCATAAGGGTTTAGGGTTTAGGGTTCAGGATGAAATAAGGCAGAAAGGTCAACAGTCGCATATGTCAACTATCGCGAGTGTTGACCATCTGGACCGAACGATTACATGCGAAGAATGGCTGTTACGAATAGTGATTATTGAAACACTATTGTACACTCCTCACCGCAGCAATCGAAGCACGCACTACCGAGAATGAAGACGAACAGGCAGAAGTGACAGGAAGAGTCACACGGTTACGAAAGGATCTGGACCATCGGGCAGACAGCATCAGGCAGCAGCAGTGGCGATGATTCTGCCCGAACAGTTTCGTAACTGTCTGGAGTCGCACGGTTGGATTTCGCTGCAATAAGGGAATGTACCCCTTAGAGTACATGGCTAGCTAGGTCGATTGGTATCCCCTTGTAATCTTATTTATATTCCTTGTACTGCATGTTTTTATTATCTCAAGCATTTACATTCACTCTGCTATTGAGGTCAAGGGCCCACCACCACTAGACTAGGAGTGTGCGAACCTTCCTGAGGTGATCCTGAGGCTGATCAACTTCTGATCGCAACATGTATGAGAGCGACTCAGGAATCCTTCGCACCGCCACCACCGAAATCTTCGGCGAACGGAAAGTGGCGTCCGGCACACGCTCACGTGTGAGAATGGCCGGAGGATCTGGAGGTCAGACGAATCTGACGGCTGAAGCGCAGACTAATCCGGCTGCGACAAACGAGGAAACGACGACAATCCCTTCCGCCGTCCTCGCACAACTGCTTCAGCGACTCACGAGCCTGGAGCAAGGTCTCCAAACATTGCGGAATGGCGATGCGGGAACATCCTCCCAACCCACTCAACCGGCCTCAAATGGCCAGAACTCCGCCCCGCAAGGCTTCTCTCTTGATACAAACGGCTCAACACCCAAGACTCCCTGTCCCAGCGATGAAGCAATTCTCTCTGCGCAATCAAGGTTTTTGAGCATATCAAAAATAAAGACAAGTGTGTGCTTTGACGGCAGAGACTTCTATACCTGGAGCTTCGAGCTGGAGCTACTGCTGCAAAACGCGCAGATTTTCCACTACTTTGACGGGAGCTACTCGGGACCCACGGAGGAAACTGACGACGCAAAAATCAAGTACTACAACGAGTCCCTGATGGCGTACGGGGTTCTTCTTCGAAATATGTCGCCGACGGAGCAATTGAGCATTCGCTCATACAAAACTTCGCCTGCTCCAGCCCTCAACGCCTGGCGCCACCTGAATGGTGTGTATCAACCGAAGGACTCGGTGTCGTCGAGCCGTCTACTCCAGCAGCTACTGGAGACCAAAATGGCACCAGGAGAGAAGGCCAACAGTTACCTGAATCGCTGTCGGAGCCTACGCGATCAAATCGCGAAACTGGGGAGCACGATTTCTGAGGAAATTTTCGTAAATATTGTGCTCCAAGGGCTCGGCCCCGAGTGGCGGCCCTGCAAGGCGCTTCTCCGACAACAGGGGGTCATCTCGGAGGCCGCCCTTTGCGCCGCCCTTCTCGTCGAACAACGGGATATGGATCAGCAGCGACCAGCGCCGCGACGAGACAGGGAACGCCTCGCCTTCTACGCCGACAACACGGAAGAGCGACGGCCGCGGCGCCTCTACTGCAAAATTTGCAGAAACTTCGGGCACCTGGCAGATCGATGCAAGCATCGATCTCGCCCTCGTCAGACCAATCCGAGCAACTGGTCCGGCCGACAAGACGCGAGGAACGACACGCGTCCTGCCCAGGGGTATCAACCCCCATCGCGCAACCTGAACCAGGCAGTTCAGCAGCAGCAGCAGCCATCACAGGCTGCCCCCGTCCGCAATGTCATGGGAAACATGACCATGACGAGCGGGTCTCGTCGCCCGCGCGCGCGCTCACCATCACCTGAGCCAGCGCCTGACCCAATCGGAGCGTTCTCGAACAACAATCCGTTCAGCACGCGTCACGACTTCAGCGACGATGACAAACAGGACTGGAATCTCCCAGTCCCGCTGCTTGAGAGCCCCCCGCACGTACCAGACACGCGGCCGGCACCGATCGATTGGATCGCGCGCGAACAATTTCTCAAGGTCGACACACCGCACATCATTACTCCGCGACTGGCGCTGCTCGCGCGTAACGACAACAGGCGCTACAACACGTGGTACCTGGATAGCTGCTGTGGGCAGCACATGGTGGGCTCCGAGCGTTACATATCCAACGCCGTCGCCACCCCCGCCGTCACCTACGTCACCGTGGCGAACAACACGCGGCTGCGCGCAAACGCGCAAGGCATCGTCGTGCTCAAGGCACATGGGAGCAGAACGCACATCACCTTGAATGACGTACTGATTGTGCATAACCTGCGCTTCAACCTGCTCTCGGCGGCGCAACTCCTGGATTGCGGAGTTGTCCTCAGCACCGACCCCGAGACGCGCGTCATCCTGCTCCACTTCACGATGCCGAACAAAACGCGCAAGCAGATCGGACGAGCACACGCCGAGAACGGAGTGTATGTTCTCGACT